TTTTGTTCTTATTCATTATGCTTATGAGTTAATATGCTAGTTTGAATGATTGATCACCATTTAGTCTTGCATGTTAGCTATCTTGGTTTGAATTAAGAGTATACACCATGCTTTAATTCGAATTGAACTATGAATAGGAAGAGTATGTATGGACATTCGACAACAGGGATTAGATACATGCTTGGTTGTTTAAATTGTTCTTCTATGCTTAATGGGTTCCTAATGCTTAATTTTAGGTTAGACAACAAATGATCAAATTAGGGAATTAGGAACACAAGGTTATGACCAAACACCATGGCTTAATCATACTTTAGCTAGAATCAATCCATTAATCTAATTGAACTTGGGAACTTATTTGCTTGAGTTATTTCTTTCTTCCTTGTTTTATTTATTTCCTTTCTTTTTCATTTCTGTTTTGTGTAGGGAAACTAAATTGGATCATTCAATCACCAATCCCTGTGGAATCGACCTCGCACTTACATACGCTAAACTACCAACGGTTCGTGCACTTGCGAGTATCACAAGTTGAGGATGCAACTGAATCCATTTTGGTGCAGCTGTATCTACGCAACAACTGGGGAAGCGAAGAATAGGTTGATTTTGAGGCAAGTGCAGAACTGCCTGAAGAGCTCTGAATCGATGGCGTTGGGGATGCCGAAGCGGCAACAAATGTTGGTCCAGACAAATTCCTCAACCCTTGCTGCTGTTATGGTGGCTAGGGCTTCGGCTTTGACCCATTTCGTGAAATAGTCCACGGCAACGATTGCATATTTAACCTGTCCCTTGCCTTGCGGCATGGGCCCAATTAGGTCGAGTCCCCATTGGGCGAATGGCCATGGGCTCACGATCGGCGTAAGAGGTTCGGCAGGTAGGTGTGGGATATTGCCAAACCGCTGGCATTTGTCGCACCTCTTCACCATCGCAATTGCATCCCTATGCATGGACGGCCAATAGTAGCCCTGCCGGAAGGCTTTGTGGGCCAGGGATCTGGAGCCGGAATGATCGCCGCAAACACCACTGTGGATTTCCCGAAGGATGTATTCGCCCTGCTCTTCGATAACGCATTTCATGTAGGGGGTTGTGTAGCCGCGTTTGTACAGGATGTCATTGATGACAATGTACCTTGCCGATCAGTAACACAGCTTCCTTGCTTGTGACTTGTCTTCTGGGAGGGTGCCGTTCGTTAGGTATATGTATATTGGCGACATCCAGGTGTCCTCATACCGTATGGTGCATACGTCGACGGAGGTGGTGCTTGGCCGGGCCAAGATCTCGACAGGGACCTTTCAGCCAATCTTGTCGTTAATTGCCGATGCCAGTTGTTGCGTAGATACAGCTACACCAAAATGGATTCAGTTGCATCCTCAACTTGTGATACTCGCAAGTGCACGAGCCGTTTGTAGTTTAGCGTATGTAAGTGCGAGGTCGATTCCACAGGGATTGGTGATTGAATGATCCAATTTAGTTTCCCTACACAAAACAGAAATGAAAAAGAAAGGAAATAAATAAAACAAGGAAGAAAGAAATAACTCAAGCAAATAAGTTCCCAAGTTCAATTAGATTAATGGATTGATTCTAGCTAAAGTATGATTAAGCCATGGTGTGTGGTCATAACCTTGTGTTCCTAATTCCCTAATTTGATCATTTGTTGTCTAACCTAAAATTAAGCATTAGGAACCCATTAAGCATAGAAGAACAATTTAAACAACCAAGCATGTATCTAATCCCTGTTGTCGAATGTCCATACATACTCTTC